AGGGTTCTTTGTTATTAACGGCACGTTACAAATGTGCCAAAGTAGAAGGCGATATCTCAAAAATTGCGGAGGTGAGAGCGCGAACAATTTTTACGACATACATACACACACACATACATTTTTAAAAAATTGTTTTTTTGAGTTTTTAAAACATTCTAAACCCATTGGCAATGAAACCTGGAAAAAAATTTTTCGCATGAAAACAAAGCTTCCTCTATGAGGAAGCAATATAGTTAATCCTTAAATTATTAATCTATTTCTACGTTATCTGAATAAAATTTATACCGTACGTATGAAAATATAATATAACATAAAATTAAGCATTGCTAATTAAAAATTGATATTTTAACAAGAATAAAATATAATCAGCGTACACAATGTTGGGTTTGCAAATTAGGAAATTATATTCAGTATATCTGTTATAGGTGTGTATAACCAGTAATGCTTTTACAATGGATTTTTTCGACAAAATTAACACATTGTCAATTTTTTCAATTTGAAATATTCAATAATTATTAATCGCACACATTTCCTCTTCGTTATCCATGCAAATCGGAAGCTATAAATGCGTCGCACGTAAATGTAATTTTTAATCCTTTCGTTCCAAAAGCGATAAATGCAGCCCAAATTTATTAGACATATTTGATTCTTTTCTCACACGCGTGACTTTTATTTCTAATTATTCATTTCCAAAAATTCACACTTGTTAAAAACTCGTATAGTAGTAGTAGTAGTAATGGTTTATTTTCGTGAGAAAATACATTGGCGCTTTTTTAAGGGAGCGTTCCCGAACCCTTTACACCTTCATTCCTTTCCCTACCGCGACCTGGCCTTGTGCGACCTTTACATCCTTTTTCCCCCCTCCCTTCGTCCCTCCCCCTACTCATACCCCTCCCTCTTCCGTTTCTCCTTCCTTCTTCCTCTCCATCCTCCTTCTATCCTCCTCTCTCCTCTCTTTATCTTCTCCTCCTCTCCACCAAACCTGCTTCTCCTTTTTCCCGATCCTCATCTCTCTCCTTCCTCCTTTTCCTTTTGTATCCTTCTCCTTTCTCTCCTCTATCCTTCCTCCTTCCGCTTCTTCTCCTTTTTATTCCTGTAACAGACCACCTTTTATTTATACGCTCAAAAACTTGCTTTACCTTTACCTTTTATCCACTCGACTCCCCGTCACTCCTATTTCCCTCCTTCTCCTCCCCTACCCACTTCCATTCCTTCCCGTCTACCCACATTCTTCTGTTCTCCACCCATGCCTCCCTTCCCTTTTCCCTCTCTATCTTTGCCCTTTCTACCATTCTCCATCTTACTCTCCTCTCCTCCATACTCAAATCCTCATCTATCCTTATTCCCCAGTTCCTTCTTATCCATTCCCTTCCTACCAGAATCTCTCTCCTGTCCCTCGCCTCTTTCATTTCTACTATGACTACCACTCTCCCCCCTCTCCCTGCCTTTCTATACACCTTTCTACCTTCGTCGCTCTTCCCAACCACTCCTCTATCACCTCTTCTATCTTCTGTGTTCTCTCCTCTTTATCCTTTCCTTCCACCCCTTTCCATACTGTTCTTCTTCCTCTTCTTTCCTCTCTTTCTCTCCTAAGCTTTTCCTCTCTCTCTGTATCCTCTTCTACCTCTTTCTGCCGTTTCGCTTTCTCTGCCTTCTCTGCCTCTGTTCTCTCCTTCTCTTTCTCTCTTTCTTCCCTTTCCTTCTCTCTCTTGTTCGTCTCTTCTATCTCACGCCTCCTTTCTCTCTCTTCTTTTTCCTCCTTCCTCTTTTGCTCCTCCTCTCTCTGCGTCTTCTCCCTTCTCTTCATCTCCGTCCCTTTCCCTCCTCTCTTGTCTTCTTGTTCTCCATTGTGCCTCTTCCTCTCCACCACTCTCCATCTCCCTTCTCTCCCGTCTATCTCCTGCCTCCTTCCCTTTTCTTCCTTTTCTTCCTTCTCCCTTACCTTCTCCTCTTGCTCTTGTTCTCGTTTCGCCGCCTCCTCCTTTTCCTGCTTTTCCTTTTCCTCCTCTAACCTTCTCTCTCTCCTCCATCTCTCCTCTCTCCTTTTCCTTTCTTCCTTTCTCTCCAGTGTTTCCCTTATCTTCCTCAATTCGCTTCCTATCTCCCTTAGTACCTCCATCCAGTCCTCCGATCCGCCTTCCCTCTCTCCTCCCGCCATTTTCTTCTCTCTTCTTTCCCTGTCTCCTCTTCCTGCTTCTCTCTGTACCTCTCCTCCCTCCTCTCTCCCTCCCCTCCTCTCTCTCCTCTCCTCCGCCACCCCTTTCTATCCTTCTCTCTCCAGTCTTCTCCCTATCCTCCCACCGCCTCCTTCCTCTTCTCTCCGTCTCCTTCCTCTTCTTTCTTCCGTCCTCTCTCCCTTTTCCTTCTTTCCTCCACCTCGTCCTCTCCTCTGCTCTTCCTTTTCTGCTTTCTTCTCCTTTCTTTCCTTCCTTTCTTTTCTGTCGCCTTCTCAATTCCGTTGACTACATTCTCGCGCTTACTACAGCTGTTACTTTCCCTTTCTCCTTAGCCCTCCCCTGTCCCCTCCCTCTCTCACGCGCTCCTCTGCTCTGCCTTCCTCGACCGAATCGATCTCTCGATCCCCTCTGCCAATCACACCTTCCGCTGCTTTCTCATACCGAATCGACCTCTCGATCCTTTCGTCCAACACCCCTTCCTCCCGCCGAATCGATCTCTCGATTCTCTTCGGCCATTCTCTCTCTTCACTCTCTACAGTCGATCGCTCGATCGCTCGCCTCCTTGTGCCCGCCGGCCTCTCGTACCTGCTCGGTCCTCTCTCTCCATCTTTCTATTCTCTCTCTCCTACTCCTCCTTCCTTCCGTTTTCTTTCTCCTCTTGTCTCCTCCTTCTCCTCTCCTTCTCCCTCTCGTCTCTGTACCTTTTTCCGCCTCATCTTTTCCTCCGTCTTCCCTTCCTGCGCCTTGTCATCTGCACTGCCTGTCACCTCTCCTGCTCCTTCCTTTTCCATTTCCTCCTTCTCACGGCCGCTTCTCGATTACTCGATCACTCGATCTCGATCTCGATCTCGTTGCTCCTCTCCATTCCCCTACGCTCGCCGCTCCGTGTTCTGCCTCCTGCCAGTTTCTCTCCTTCCATTTTCCTTCAGTCTTCGCTTTCCCTTCTCTTCGCTCTCCCTCCTTCTTTCTCTCCTTCTTCTTTGCGTTGTCAATTTTCGGTCACAAACTATCCTACCGTTTTGCTCCTTTTCCGCCTGCACCTCTTCGACCTCTCGCACTTTTCCTCCAGTCCTCCCCACTCGCTCTCATCGATCTCTCGCTCCGTCCGCTCGACCTCCTCCCCACTCCTCACCCTTCTTCCTCGCTCCGTTCTGCCGACTCATTCTCCTCTTCACTTTACCTCCTTCTATCTTCCTTTTTCCTTTCTCCTTCTCGTCTCCTCCAATTCCCGTACTGTATCTCCTCGTCCTCCATCCACCTCCGTGTTTTCTTCCTCTCCGGATCACTTCCTTCCACTTTTCCTTCGCCTTTTCTCTTCAACCTCTCACCGTCACCACCTTTCACTCCGCCATCTTTTTCAAGTCCTAAAAACTCGTATAGTATGTATGTA